AGCTATTGTGTTCGATTCCTCAGTCACAACCTGCTCTTCTTGCTTGCTATGTGGAGTCGTCGCGGCAAGGTCATCCTCCGTACGAGCTGGAAAGTCCTCAAGATTTGTGGAATGTTCTTCGGGCTGAGCAGAAGTCTCGTCAGTCAACACAGGGACGGTCTCTGGAGTCTCGACAGGGGCCTCCGTCACAGTGGGGACCTCTTCGGTGAAGGCAGACTCTTCAGTGGAAGCGGGGGCGCTCTCATTTGATGCAGAAATGGCCTCGGATGATTCAACGGGAGCTTCCGTAACAGCTGGAGCACCTCCCGTAGATGCAGGAGCATCCTTGTCTGCCGATTGTTCTTGGTTGGAGATATGTGTTGTGTCATCATTATCTTCAACACCTTCCTCCACCGGACGATTCGTGGAGTTAAGCTCTGTGTCCGGGACTATGGCGTCCGCTGTCACGTCACCGGAAGGATTCTCAAAGCTCTTTGAATGCAAATCCTGGCCTTCGTCAAGTGAAACTTCACCGCTTGTTTGGTGCAGGGGTTCTGTAGCAAAGCCCGCATCGGCAGCCTGTGGGGGATCGATTTCAGGCACGGATTCAGGCTCGGGCTCGGGCTCGGGCTGAAAGTCGGTCAAAATTGTAGACTTCCGGTTCTTCTTTTTCTTCTTGCTCTTCCCTTTCTTCTTCGATTGATCTTCCTCGGTCACGTCACTACTTGCCTCCAACTTCATTTCGCCGCAGTTGCCTGTTTGACGCTCAGCCGAACTACCAGTCACAGCTTCTGGGGCACTTTCTTGGGCCTCTTGGCTTTCAACAACTTCCACCTTAGCGCTCTCAAGGGGATCTTGCCTGGATGGCTCAGCACTCGATGGATCCTCGCCGGTCGCATTTGGCTCCCCAATGCCTTCAGGCCTAGCTTCCGTGTTTGACTCAGCTTCAGCCTCGAGCACTGGTTGACTAGAGGACTCTAATTGGGATTCATCGACGGTGGGTTCTTCTGCTGTTGCCTCTGTCTCACTTTTGCGCTTGTTCTTCTTCTTCTTCTTCTTCTTCTTACTCGCTTTGCGCGACAGAGTCTCGGTTTCTGTACTGGCACCTTGGGCATCATTTGTCATCGATGTTTCAGGTGTATCGACTTGCTCGACTAGAACAGGAACGTCGTCGCGAAGCTGCTCGGTGGTAGAAGCGCCCAAGTTGGTCTCTTTGGCAGTCAGGTCATGCTGAGCAGGGCGCTCAAGACTCTCGTCCTTTTTCTGCTCCAGCTCATGCTCACTGCCAAACAAATCTGGCTCAGTTAATTGCTTGTCCGTCAGAACCTCTTCCACGGCTGCTGGTGACACCATCTGATCGACCTGATCATCTAGAGCAGAGCGCTCATTGTCATCACTGGTCACGGCTTCAGGCTTTCTAAACTCCTCAGCGTCTTCAAAGACATCTTCTTGAGTGCTATCAACCTTGACGAAGACAGGTTCCGCATCAGGGTCGAGGGGCTCGCCAGAATTTTGAGATTCTTTGCCAATTCCTGATTCTGCGGGCTGGGCTGCGGGCTCCTCTATCGTTGGTAGGTCTGTTGCGCTGGGCTTTACGGGCTCAGTTTCGCTCACGACTGTTTCGCCAACAATAGGGACAGGCTCTTTGTCCACTTTCTGGGGGGCTTTTCCCGCAACTTTCGAGCCCGGCTGCATGAATTCGGTATTATTTGCAGGTGCTTCATGGACCACGGCATTGGACGAAGCAGGCGCTTCCGATACAGTTGCAGTGCCTGCCTCCGAGGAGTCAGGAATCTCCTGTGGATGCTCCACCATAATATATCCATCAGATGGTTCCTCAAACTTGATTGTAGACTCCTGCTTGCTGGATTCAAGCTTCTCCGTATCATTTTCCTGAAGGGACTCGGCAGTAGGCTCAGCAGCGGGTTCAGCGATAGCCTGAGTGAGAGGCTCTGCGGAAGGCTCAGTAGAATGCTCAACGGAAGGCTCAACGGAAGGTTTAGGCTCAGTAGTGGGCTCAGCGATAGCTTCAGCGGAAGGCTCATGGGCAGCCTCAGTGGTGGGCTCAGGAAAAGCCTCAGCGATAGGCTTAGGCTCAGCAACAGGCTCAACGGAAGGCTCAGTAATGTCAATAGTTGCTGGGCCCTCATTGTCTGTCATAGAAACTGAGCTCTTGCTCTTCTTTTTCTTCTTTTTATCCCGCTTGGCCTTCTTGCCCGAAGTCACAGTATCCGGGGTTGTCTCTTCAACATCGATGAAAGATTCCAATTCAGGTTTCGCGACGCTGTCCAACAAAGGAGCCTCAGCAGGGTTTCCCTGCTCGAAGCTTTCGGCGAAACGGTCACTTTCCAATCGAGTAGTTCCTTCCGCTTCCCGTGCTTGCCTATGCGCAGGCTCGGGGTCTACCACTTCGGCCGGAAGTTGTTTGGGAAGGAGAGATTCCTCAGCTGGCAGTGGCCCTTCATCCGTTGCCAACCCGGCTGGCTCTTCTACGGCTGCAGTTAAATGTTCTGAGCCGACTTGCTCATGTGAAGGTGGATCTTGCGAGAGCACCTCCACCTCCTTCGAAGACTCCGCTGATTCTAAACTCTCCATTCGAGGTTGCTGTACAAGCGACTGGGTAGGCTCTTCACGATGCGTTGAGAGCTCAGGAGCATCCAAGTCGGTGCTTTTGCCCTGCTTTGTCTTTTTCTTGTTCTTCTTCTTCGACAGCTTCAGCGATGCACTCTCAGTACTAGAGACATCGAGCTGTCCCTCAGTAGCCTCGTTGCCAGGTACGGCCGTTGTCTCAGTCGCCGGGTTGGAACCGCCGGGAATAACTTCTTGGTCGGCTGATATACCGTCTTGCTCGTCACCGATGCTTCTGCTTTTGGGCAGCGACTCTGGCGTGGAATACTCCTCAACCGGCTTATCAGTCTCTTCTTTTGGGGACCGTACTTCATCTGTTGCTTGATTGGAGACACCTTCCGCATCGGCTGTCCTTGTTTGCAGTGGCTCTGGCACTTCGGTAATTTGTTCTGGGGCTTTCTGGGCACTTGACTCTTCACCGCGTGGTTTAGGAGGCTGTTCATCCTGTGCCACGCCTTCCAATGTCGGCTCTGCTATAATTGTGACCGGACTATCCGGCTCCGGCTCCTGAAATTCCACAGCGGGCTCCGGGATGGTTGCAGTCGGAGAAGCAGTTCTTAAATTTGCAGGTTCCGGATGAAAGACCTCACTCACAGTCGATAGAGGTTCGGTGTTCAATGCGCCCCAACGTAGCTGTCCATCGTCCAGACAAAGACGAGTAGCTTCGTTGGTGCTATTTCTTGCTGCTGCATCGAAGCCCTCTGTCTCAGGTTCATGCTCCTCGGAAGGCATCTCCATGTGCATCTGTCCCACATCACCCTTGGGGTGGCCTCCGGAGTCTGTTATTTTGTCTTCCTGGGGAAGACTTGACTCAGATGACCGTTGCGCCGCCGCAACCACTGAGTCAGTTTGACACATTGGTTCTGTGGGTATATCTGCCTGAGAAGGTGAAGTTGATCGTTTCTCCTCAGTATCCAACGGCATCAGATCGGGTGTTTCAGAAATGGCTATGCGACCTTCGGCCTGAGTCGCTTCGCTAGCGAAATCTTCTGCGACCAGTCGGTCTTGAGTCTCTTGCCTTGTTCCACCTTCCACGGCATATGGATGGCCAATATTAATATCTGCGCTAATTGTAGAAGCAGCAGCCATACCATCGACTCCGGCAGATTTTAGATTATCACTAGGTGCGTGCACTTGCGTCGGAAAGGCCGTTGTTGCTTGGGTTGGCGTCGTGTCAGTGGTCTCCGAGGGTTGTTGGAGAAGCTTGTCCTCTGGGGTTGAAGGCCGCATTTCAAAGATGGGGGCCATGGTTTGCTTAGCTTCCGTACCTTGTTCGTCCTTCAGGCCAAGTGAAGAGCCCTCCGCCGACGGCAGCTCGTTCAAAGTCGGAGATGGAGGAAGATCAGGGTATGAGCTAAGATCCTGTAGAAGCTCAGAAGGAGAATGGAACTCGTACTTCAGTGCATCTCTCTTAGACGGAGGATGGTGAAGAACGTGATTGAAAGAATTAGCTGTGGGAGTCCCTTGTTGTGAATCGAGAAGTTCGTGGTGATGATCGTCACCAGACATGCCCTTGGTGTTAGAAAAGTCCAGGTCGCTGGGTCGTGGCGGTCCATGGATGTATTGACTCAAATCAACCACTTCCCAGTTCTTCTCTTCGGGGAGAGCCGTGAGGTCTTCGGCCGACGCATTGGCTGATGTTGTCTTGCTTGAGGGTAACGACGGCAGGGCCTCGTCGGGTTGAGGCTCAGCTTTGCTGGTACTATGCCGTTCTACGAGCCAGAGAGGTCGGATCTCCCGAGAGTTTTTGAACTCTGTTGAAGCTGGTCGGCGGTGACGGCCCTGAGTGGGAGAGCTTGGGGAAGGTGTCACGGATGAAAGTGAGGGTGATCGAGTTGTCCGAGGAGAAGTGGGAGGCCGGCGAAAATGCAGAGGAACCGCGGTGGGCGAATCCACTGTACGCAGCACAGACGACCGCCGAGACCCTTCTCCTGACTCCTCGTCTTGAGCCTCTTGAGCCTCTTGGGCCTTTCTCAGCTCCGGCGAAGTCGGTCTACTCTGGGACAGCGGAGCCGGCTGACATGTCTTCTCTGATGCAGGCGGAGACGCCGAGCGACTTCTAAGTCGTTGATCCAAGACATTAAGTCCCAAGCCCGTAATTGCAGAAGCCTCAAGCCCTGAAGCACCATGATTCGAACCACCTTCGTCTATCTGGCTTGGCAATTCAGGGCGGCCTCCTAAAAAAGCCCGTGGCTCATCGTCTTCCTGAGAGAAGCTCGGTTCCTGTACGGGGGAAAAGACGAGAAGAGAGATCTTAGTACGTGGGTCATTTGTAGCATTTCAAAAGCAACATGTGGGGATATTCAGGGTAAAGTCATGTTTACAGGTCATGCAAGGTCATTCAAGGTCATTCAAAACGGAACGGAAAAAAAGGAATGAAAGACAGCCAGTCACTATACCTTCTCATACTCTTTCAACCTTCCAGAGTCAAGAACATCATCGTATCTTTGTCGCCGTCTGCCCTCCCTTCGCTGCCTGCTGGACTTATAATTCTCAAGGTTAATGTTTTCTTTATCAGGCCCGATCAAGCTCTGATCGTCCAGGTCTCTGCTCTTCCGGGTCTCCGACTTGTTGTCCAGCGAGTCGGCTCGGCTAGAACTGCGCCGCCGAGAAGACTTCTCTTTGCGCCGGGGGCCAACCTCGGATTGAACTTCGCGCGAGGAGCGCCTATCGGCAGATGAGCTGCTGCTAGCTATCGGCTCTGAAACTCTCGAGCCAAAAAGGTTACTCAAAAAGCCTCCGGAACGTTTTTCCTTATCCTTTTCATCCGCTTTTCTAGACTTTTCTGCAGTGTCTCCGAGTCTAGTGAGGGAGGAAGCGGCTGAAGCGGTGTTTTCAGAGTGGTCACTATCACGCTTGGTACGTCTTTTGCGCCTTTTCCTTCTTTTGTCCGAAGCGCCGGCTTCAGCAAGTGACGATTTGTCATCTTCATTCGGCCCTGAATCGCTTTCACTCTGCTCTTCCCTCTCTTGTCTAGTTGGCGCATCGATGTCTCCAAGAACAGGCGCTGAGACCACGGATCTTGAATCATCCTTATTCGCATTGTTCCAGTCACTGGGTGTCTTCATTTGAGTCAATGGCGCTCCTGTGTCAAATCCTCCAGGCATAGAAAGAACCTCTTCCACAGGCGCGGCAAATTCATCGCGCGGACCGCGGAGGATTACAGTAGGTTTACTACCGCTCGTCTCGAACACCCGTCTCAAAGTGTCTTTTGGTTCCTGTCTTTGGCTAAGTTGCTCAATTACCTCCTGGGCAATTGAGATCCGTGGCGCAGCATCTTTGTTCATAGTAGTGTTAGGAGGTTCGTGCTCCGGGCTAATAGAATGATCTCTGCCGGACAACTCTCCGATCTCCTTGTCATACCCGTCGTCGTCCGGTGTCTCGACCTCCCCTTCGACAAAGCCGTGAGGCTCTGTGCGCCGGTGTTCAGCATTGTCCCATGGCGAGACAAAGATAGTGCCAGCCTCAGGGGCGGCGGATGTCCGCGTAGTATGGTAGGTTGGATCATCCGTGACAAGGGAGGGGTCGAAGCCTGCGGCGGCGGTAGCTGCAGCCACGGCAGCTGCGAATTCTATGTCGGCCCCACTCACATGCGGCATGCTGCCAGAACGTGGAACATCCCGAAAGTCTTCGGGAATGTCGTAAACATCTTGCGCCAAGCTTGGTTCACCCCGTCGGTCTTGTTCTTCTCTTCTAGAGAAGTCCTCAACAGACAGCTCGGAGGAAGTGGAGGGCACCTCATACTCATGAGTCTCGTGTCTGCCCCACGACACACGTGAACCAGTTGTCGGGCGCTCAGTATGTTCGCTTGCTTGGGGCCGCGCAGGAACCAATGTTATCGGTGACGAGGCACCTTTGACAGAACCACTGAGACTTTGAGGAGGCGTGGGTTCAATAAGCTTCAGTGCTGGCACGGGCCATGGAAGACCGCTATACTCGGGATGGGACTCTTCCGCCAGACGTAAAGACTCAATCGCAGGTTCCGCTTCGATGATGGTCGGCATTGAGGTGGGCTCCCGGCGCTTGTAAGTGTCGGGGCTATAACGAAGCTCCTCGGGTGCAAAGAATTGCGCATAGTTGTCGTAGACCGGCTTTTTGTGATAAAGATCCTTGAATGCATGGGTCTTGACACTTTCCTGTCGACGCTCTGTTTGCGGACGTTCCTCCACCGCATGCTTCGACTCTTCTGACAATGGAAGGCTTGATGCTGTCGAACTCGAGTCTGGGATCCGACGTCTTTCGGCCCTGCGTTTCTCTCGTCGTTCCTCGTGGCGCCGCTGGCTAGCGGCTTCAGACGCTTCATCGTAGGAGCCCCTACCGGATAGCACTGTCGCTGCAACAGCAGCACCTATAGTACCTGTTGCTGCTGCACCAACCCATGATACTGGGTCTCTGTCGTGATGTGAGTGCCCATCATGACTTCCACGTCTATCATAATTCCGGTCTCTGTGGCGGCTTGCTCGATGCTCAGACTCCCAAGATGCTAATTCCTGCTCTCGATCAACAAGCTGTACCCCGTTCTGATATCCTGCAACCCGTCCCAGTTCTTCCTGTCGAGTGGAACGCCGCTCTTTGTCCGCCTGTTCGTCTGTGAGGTCGAACTGAACAGATGCCTGTTCCTTGGTTGTGGAGCGACGCTGCACGCCGGACACGGGAGCTTCCTCGAGAGCTGCAGTAGGGAAGACAGGTGACGAGTCGCTACGTCGGTGTGCGCGACTACCATTTGACACCATCTCGCTTTGCCTGTCGTACTCTGGAACTCTGTTGGTGCGAGGATCACCACTCCGGTCATAGAACCTTGTTTCGTGAGGTATGATAGACTCCTCGAAGACAGGCAGTCCGCTTGGTGCACTATACGCGTGGATAGACTCCCCTTGACTAGTGTATACAGCTTGTGAAACCGGTGTGACAGGCTGTGGTTGTTGTAAGGGAATAGGCCCTGGTCGGACTAAGGGTGGCTGATTGAGAGGCATTGACGATATGTCGAAATCGTTGTGAGGCGAGGATTCATTGATGGGCATTGGCGCCATCTGTTGAAGACTTGCAACGCTATTGGCACCATGGCTGGATGACTTCGCGTCTCGGTGATAAGCCGATGCGAGGGCAGCCGTTCCGAGCCCGGCAGCTACTGCCGCACCGGAAGGCAAGCGGTGTTCAGATTGGCTGGAGCTTGTCCTGTTCTTCTTCTTCTTCTTTGTCTTCTTCTTGCTTCCCCATCCCCAAGTCCACCTGTTTGTCTGGGAATCAGACGAGTGCTGAGATTCACTGCTAGAGAACAGCCCACTGCCGCCAAAGGCGAGAGCGGAGTTGACGCTTGAGGAAGATTGGTCGCCCGAATCTAAGTCTTCCCATCCATCATCGTTGGTTGCAGAGGACGCATAATCTGACCGACCCGATCGAGGGTCTTTGCCGGCAAGAATCTCTCCTCGTCGTCGACTGCTTCTATGAGATGAAGCGGCCAAGGCTGTTGCTGCTGCGCCCAAACTGAGTAATGCTGTGTCCACATCTCTCTCCTTCCGATTCCGCCTGTTGGACTTGTTTTTGGGTTTCCTGGCGAAGCCACTTCCGAAGGCAAGATCCGCGTCCAAGGAGGATGACGACGAGTTATTGAAGGAAAACAATCCCCGGCGTTTCTTGGTCCTCTGCTTCTGCCGATTCTCAGATGAAGCTGTGAAAAAGGAACTGAGACCACTACTCATGGACTTTCGAGCTGGCCGTGAAATGTCAACGAACGATTCGTCAGACGAGGATGTTTTGCGCTGTTTGTTCTTGGACGAGGTAACTCGGGTGATAGTCTCATGACGTGGCTCAACCTGGGACAGAGTTGCCGTGCCAAGAGCAGCACCCAGCGCTGCATCTCTCAGGGCAGAGTGTCGCTGGGCCCGAGACGAAGATCTAGACCTTGAACGCGAGCGAACGTGGCTAGTTTCGTACTTGCTGGTTCTCGTGTCCGAGTAAGAGCTCCGGTCAGCCCCTTCACGGGATCTGCTGCGATTAGACCGACGATGCACGCCACGAGATGTTTGACTCCGTTGGCCAGAGGTTGACGCGCCCTCACTGCTGTGAGAGGAATGCCGTGAGCTCGCGACTCGGCCTGTTTGAATACTATAACTTTCGTCGAATTCCTTGTTGCTGAAGATCGACTTGACTGCATATCCTCCAAGCAAACCAGGCAGCCATGAGCTTCCAGATGACCTTTTGCGACGTCTCCCTTCATCGTCGGAAGATGAATAGCGGCTTGCTTTATCGATGCGGGAGGCCGTGCTATAACGATCGCCCTGACTGCGGCCAGAACCGTGGTTATGCTTGCGAGGTGCGTCTCGAGATGATGTGCCCGGCTCAAAACAATATTTGCAGATACCGATGGACTCTGTATAGTCCTCGAACATTCCCACTGCTTCAGTATCGCGCCAAAAATCGATGATTTTTTCCAAAGGTCCACGCTGACGTTGTTGAAAGGCTAGCGCACCAGAATGAAATGGAGCACCATGGTAGACAGCCGCATGATGCGGATGGAGTGGACTTGCTGCGTACCCGACTCCTGCTGCATGAAGTGCTGCCTCCTGGTGAGGGGGGTATGTCGCAAGACCGCCGTGACCCAGCTCGGTTTGGGAAAGCTCTTCGTAATTCTGCATGGTGTACTGAGAAGAATGGACACTCGAGGAATGATGATGGTGTCCCATCACGTAACCTGCTGCTGCTCCTGCAGCGGCCGCCCCAACACTTGCGCCCATTCCATGCGGAGGGGATGGGTTGTGTGCGATCGGAGGATTTGGCGGAGCGTAGGTTGAAGGAGACTCTGTGTACACTGGCTCTGAGAATTCAGCTGTGGCCACTGATGCGGCGGGTACGACCGCTGGCGGTGATGCCTCGGCAACCTGGACGAATGGCTTGGGTGGTTTTTGTGGCTTAGTCGCCGGGGCCGATATGCTTTGTGTCGGGCCCTGCTGAGCATTCGAGGAAACCGGAACCGCATCGTCATCGTAGTACGAAGCCGCAGCGCCAACCTGACCCAAGCTACTGGGCTCAGGTGGCGGGTTCGGTACCGAAGAAGCCGTCATCAAATGCGCTTGGCTACTCGGAATCACCATCTGAGGCTTCGGACGAACGCCGGGTTGGTCCTGGACCGATTGACCTTGATCGCCATAGTAGTCCGCAGCTTCTCCAGCAGGATTTGGCGGTCTGTACGGTTCGGCGAAGGTTGTAGGGAACTGGTCGGGAAATTGCTGCTGCACATGAGGGTCGTAGAATGCTGGCACATTTGGGAGGCCCGACACCGAGGTGCTTGGGATGGAGTCATAAGAATGTGCGGAGTGGGGAGGTAGACCGGAGATATCGTATTCGTTCCTCGATCGCGACGTAGGTGGATCCTCAGCGAACGCTGTTGCGTAACTATCGCCCGACTGTGTCCGTCGACGCTCTGCACGATCACTGTCACGACCACCCGACATCACCTCACTCCTGCGTTCATCCCGTTCCAGTCGCATGCGCTCGCGCTCGCGACTGGGGGACCTTGCCCGCTCGCGCCTGCGGACGTATGTGTCCTCCCTCTCGCCATTGTCCCGATCCCCAGTGCGACGGTCAGTGATGTCGGAGTCACTGCGTTTCGGGGTGCGTTCAATCACAATACGATCGGATTCAGCGGGCAAGCCCTGGTCTGCTGTCGCATAGCTCGAAGCCACGGATTCGCCGGTCGCGCTGGCGGCATACCGCCTGCTACGGTTACCGGAAGACGGATAGGTCGATAGATCACCCAAGCCACGATCACGGTCGTCACCCCGTGATGATTTGCGGCTCACTGTGGAGGATCTCGAGTCGGTGCGGCGGCGGCGGCTACTGCTTTTGGAAGTCGAACTGCTGCGGGCATCGGAGGACGAGCGGCCCCCGCCCATCAGGGCTTTGAACATGATAAGCAGCGAGCAGTAAACGCTCTAACAGCTCAGGCAACCATAGGGGAAATTTTCAACCCGTGGGGAGGTTGATTGCCAAAGCAATGGAAATTGGTATTGTCACTGACCCACGACAGGCGCTGGAGGGGGATTAGTGGAATTGTGCGCGAAAGGGAATCCAAAAGCTGAAAAGTGATAGACGGGATAACAAAGATGCAGTAAGGACGGGGGAGGTTGGAAGAGCAGGGAGAGAAGAAGGCAGGGCGGTGGGAGAGGGGGGAGAAAGAGCGCATGCGAAAGAGAGGAAAGAGCAAAGGCGAACCTTGAAGGATGAGGAGGCTGGGGTGATTGATTAGTGTGCTTGGTGGATGAATATAGACTAGGTAGGTAGGTGGTGGTTAGATCGGCGGCAGCGGTAAAGGTATGGGTTGTGGGTTGTGGGTTGTTGTGTGGGACTCGGGGAGCCGGAGGACCAAGAAAAGTAAACAAAGTGAACCGTGGATCTTTGCTGGTTGGAAACCGGGAGGGAAAGGAAGGGGAAGCAAGCGGAGACCAGAGCCACTCCCTGGGGCTGGCGGGCTGGCGGGCTGGCGGGCTGACAGTCAAAAACTCACGAAGGCACTGGACCAGTAATCGGCCTTAGCGGGCTGGGCAAGACTCAGCAAGGATGGCTGATGCTGGGCAGATGAACTTGACACGGTTTAGAAGAAGAAGAAGAAGATGATGATGATGATGATGATGATGATGATGATGATGATGATCAAGAAGGGAAGTGTGCGTGGGAAGGAAGGCTCAAGGAATGTGGGGTAATTATCATGGATGATGGGAAGCTGTGTCAGAAGGCGGGTAGACTGGAGAAGTTGAACAGATGAAAGGGTGAAAGGATAATACCTGGGTAGTGAATGAGGATAGGCTAATGACGATGGAACTCAGGTAACATAGCTGAGCTGAGCTGTCAGTCAATCTGTTTTGTGTTGTGCTGTTTAGCTGATTAAATGGTTGGTGGATCGATCGATGCAAGTCCGAGTCCGTGGCAGTAAGACGGCGAGGCTGGGCCGACCGATCGATGCACGTGCACCGGCGGAAATGACGGCTCTGCACCCATCCCTCCCTCTCAGCTGAGCTGCTGTTAGGTACCTACACTAAGTCCCCGCCTTACTGCGTACAATAAGTCCAGTACATCCAACTGTATGCAAGTGTTGGCTATCTACTTGCATGCGCACGCCATCTAGCCTCTCTTCCAAGCCTTTGCGCTTTCCTCACAACAAGGTGTCTAGCTACATTCGGCCTCAGCGGCATAGAGTCGATATCGCTCGTGTATATACAAATTTAGGTAGAAGAAGGGCCAAGAAAAGGAGAAGAAGAATAACAAGGAAGAACAATGGAGAAAACTCAGTGTAATAGTACCCATACACAGATGGATGAGGTGCACCGCACCACAGACGACAAGGCAGTCGCCATTCAACAGACCACCCTCGGTCAGAATATTAACAATGCATTGGAAGACCACCCCGACCAAACTCCAAAGAAGAGCAATATAATGAAAGAGAAACCGCAAGCATTGTAATATACGTGATTATCACCCTCGATGCGCTGAAAATGCAAAGCAGATATACCTCCCATTTCACTGTTCACCTCGCGAGCACGAGACAGTCGACGCCACATCAACTCCCAAAAGCACGGCCTATGCCCTTGGCCCAGATCAACTCCTGAAAAAGAAAAAGAAAACGAATATGACCAACACATGATAACGGGCATGGCAAGTGGCTGTCCTGCTCTGCATCGATCCAAGGCAACCGATGAGACATACATTGAGTAAGTGAAAGACAGGCTTTGGATAGCAATCCACAAAGAGTAACATATAGTCACTGGGCATGACCCCGTGTTTGACCAACATATCCCAGAACACTGAGCAGGAAAAAAAGAGCCCGCGTGGGCCGGATTTGCCAATCGGGTACAAATCATCAAGAAGCGTTGTATGAGGAGTATAAGGGGTGGTTGGAAAGAAATGATGGCAGGAGTATCGCACAATCATTTGCATGAATCTCTTCGGTCTCAGGCTAAGGCATCGGAAAGATCCATATGCGTAATCACGCCTGGATGAAGCTTTCAATCGTATCCCCGAAAATCTTCTCGTATATCTCGCTCAGAATCTTCGCATCAGCTCGCAAGCTAGGCGAGATTTCGCGACTCTGGAGAAGGAATCGGATAGTTCGCTTCATGAGTCGCTCTAAATCGTTCCGATCGACAAGCTCGGATAAACTCGACATATACGTAGCCGACAACACCAACATGTTACCAAATTGACTAGGAAACAGAAGATCGGTCAGCACGATGTGTCAGCACGTAGGGGACTAAGAACAGCAACATACGCGTGAGCTGTGCCGAAGATGTTGGTCACAACAGGACGACCCTCGATTCCGTCGAAGGCCTCGGTGCTCAGCATGGCGGAGTCGATGCACACCTTGCACGCTCTCCGCATCTTGGGTTGGAGATCGCGATATGCGTAGGACGCCCAATTCCCACCTCCTGGGGTCGGAGTTGGAGCGCTCCGCGCGGTTGGGCCGGCATCACTGGCTAGACGTGCCATGCCAATTGCCCGTTGGCTGTGGGTCAGGGATGGGGACACTTGTTGTGACCTCGAACCCGAGATCGCTGATCCAGTAGGCGAGTCGACCGATGCTGAGCTACCGGTGTCGTTGGCAAAATGTAGAGCATGGAATAGAAGCGGCCGATGAATGATGTACCGTGCCCCGTAGTATTTGGCACGCATGCGGGCCACATTGATGTCTTTCGATGGTGGATCCGTGTCTTTCCAGCGCATCACTTCGGGCAGACTGCTCCTCCAAAGTTCCAAATTCATGCTCAGGATTTCTTGAACATGGGAAGACCAACGCGATTCTCCCTTTCCTTGGGTGGATGTTAGCTGAATGGTTGAGAACTTACGCGGGCAGTTCACTCACTTTCAACCTTGTACAGATCTGTATGAACGCGGTTGAGAACCTTTCTGAGGTGAATCTGCGCGGAATAGAAGAACATCATCATGGTGCTCGGGGCAGAGATCTCGTTCGGTAAAGTCAGTGTATATTTTCCTTTCGGCAAGGAAATCCGGCCTTCTGATCGGGATATGCCGCTAGCCGGAAGATCAAGTTCCGCAAGAATATCACTACACGGAGGTGCGATTAGCTTGATGAACGACCTGTCGGTGTGAAGCGGGCCCAGACTATACCTTTCTAGTTGCAAACAGGTCCAATATGCGAAGTCAATGGAGTCTTTGAGGGGTCCATCAACGTACTGCTCATACCGTTTTCTGCCTCACTATGTCAGACATATACTGCACATAACAGGCATAGAATTTGGAACTTACGTCCGCACAAGCACCTGACAAGCTCTTGCTGCTTGATAGATCCACCCGTGGCTCTGAAAGGGGTGCGCCAGTTGTCCGGCGTATAATCCTGCAAGTAAGGCTGCTTGAACGTGATCAAGGCCATTGGCACCTTGTAAGCTTCCCAAGATCTGAGTCGCATAGGCATAAAATGCCAGGCCGGGGATGACGTCTATGTTCCGCGGTTTCCGGGGGTGGAACCCATGCCCTGTGCGATCCGAAGACGCCTTGCGACCATCCATCGAAGAAAAGGATTGACCATCCGCCTGAGAATAGAAGCTGCCTTGCGGTGGCACGGCTGACAAGGAATCTGCCCGTGAAAGCATGTTTCGGGAGGTTGGACCTGGGATGCACTCGTCTCGAAAATTTAGAGGGACATCAGTAACCGGTCCAGGAACGGGAGGTTTTGTTGCACAGATGCTACCAAGTGCAAGAACTAGAAGGCTGATTGCATTTTTCAAAGACTTCTCGACGCGACGGCCGCTTAGGCTATCGGGCGTCATGGAGCTGGGAGATGGGACATCGCAGCCCGCACCATGCAGAGTCTCGCAGGATCGCTTTCGCTTTGCGCTCCGCGGGCCATTGCCATTGCCGTTGAGAATGGGCGCTGAAGTTGCATTTGCCGGAGGGCAGTACCGTGCAATGAACCTTTCCATTCGTTCTTCCAATTCATTCTGGTTGAGGAACGGGTGGAGTTTGTGTATGTGGTCCATGTAGCTCTGATAATAACAGCGAACGGTAGCAGCATCCGTCGTGAAGAACCCATTCTCATCCAGAGCATCTGGCCTGGTTCTGATGGGTGTGCCTTTCTGATGAGGTACAGGATCCCACGGTCCACCAGCAGCCGCATCATTGGGGTAGGTATGATCCCGGGCAGGATTCCCATTCGGCGGGGGTGATGCGGTCAGGTCCTCGCTGTCGTTATGGCCTTCGCCCCGCCCGTAAACAAGGATCAGACCACGTTCTTCCTCAAGCCTCATCACATAATCCTCATCATACTCGCGCGGGGCAAGAAGACTTTTAATTGACGGCCACATGAGCAGTTTGTGGGCCGCCGTCGTATGCTCAACGGGAATAGAAAGTTCACCGTCCTCGCCAGTTACCAGCATTTGTGGTTCCCCTTCGGCAGCCTTCTCAAGTTCCCGGTTCACGAAGTTGGAAATTGTCTCGTCTTTAGTCTCGGTCTTCTGGAGGAGATCGGCGATGTCTGGTTTCGACAGTCGGCTGAGTGACTGTTTCTGCGTTTCGGCAGCCTGTATGATCTTCGTGTCTGAAATTCCGGTCCCTTGCAAAATAGCAGTGAGCTGGTTCCCTTGCTCAACTTGCATAGATACCACCCGTCTTATATGTTCTATCACTGCATCTTCCAGCTGTTGCACACGATCCATCATTTGTTGGGTCGCTCTTTCTTGTCTTGGGAGGCGGTCAGCATGCGATCACCAAGACCTAGACGAATTAGAGGGGAGGGCGGGTCACAGACTTGTGAGGGGGCACTTCTTTATAAACACAAATCAAGTTATTTTCTTTGCAATGACTGCAAGCCGGACGACCTTCATCGCACTTGGCCTTTCTTGCTCGGCATTGATCACACGCCTTGAAGGGTAGCGACATTACGGAAGTCAGTCGACACGAT